TCTGCACTCTGACATGGGAGTTGCATGTCCTGTGCTGCAGGTCCCACAGCTGCTCTGCACTCTGACATGGGAGTTGCATGTCCTGTGCTGCAGGTCCCACAGCTGCTCTGCACTCTGACATGGGAGTTGCATGTCCTGTGCTGCAGGTTCCACAGCTGCTCTGCACTCTGACATGGGAGTTGCATGTCCTGTGCTGCAGGTCCCACAGCTGCTCTGCACTCTGACATGGAAGTTGCATGTCCTGTGCTGCAGGTCCCATAGCTGCTCTGTGCTCCCCTCCAGTCTCTTCTCTTTCTGCTGTTATTCCATCTTCAAGTTTGCTTTTCTCTTCTCTGCCCCCTACGTTTGGCTCTCGATCCATCTACTGATTTTACATTTTTATATTTACTATTCTTTATTTCTAAATTGTCTGTTTGGTTCTTCACAGCTTCTTTTCTGAGAGTTTCTATTTATCTGCCAGTACACTCTGCCTTTAAAAACAAAACAAAACAAACAAACAAACAAAAACAACCTTTCTTTCCAAACACGATCAAAATTGCTTGTTGGTACATTTCATGAGTACTGGATTTGGATTTAAAAATCTATGTCACATAATTTGAACACTTCTTTCACTCTGTTAAAGTCAAAATGTCCCCAGTTGTTGATGTGGTTTCTACTGGAACTTGAGTGACTTATGTTATAAGTCCCTTGGAGTTATATAAACCCACGGATTCAATTGTCTTATTCTCCTACAAAGTTCTTCAATCTGTTGATACTCTGGTAGGAGAGGTAGCCCTTATTATTGCTCAGTGAGAATCCAAGGTCTCAACATGCTTTCTGTAGGTGCTTTGTGAAATATGGTGGTCTGGGCCGGTCACCATTCAGTGGAGCTGGAAGATCCAGCTTCCGTAAGAAGCCATGGTGTCTCTGACATCCACAGAGGTGGAGGTGCCTCAGCATGAATCAGCGACGGCAGACTAGGTCCTCCATTGGCCTTGAGCTGGCAGCAGGGGTGGAACAGCTAGGCTACAGGTGTATATAGAGTTGGGGACTTGTACAGTTGTCCTGGTGCCATTTGACTGAAGTATAAAGGCTATTATCTAAGAGTTGTCTTTCTTTTGGAAGTTTTTTGTTTTGTTTTGTTTCCTTCTTTCTTTTTCTTTCTTCCTTCCTTCCTTCCTTCCTTCCTTCCTTCCTTCCTTCCTTCCTTCCTTCCTTCCTTCCTTTCTTTCTTTCTTTAACAATGTCTGGTTTCTCGGCTGGCTTCACATTCACAGACATCCACCTGATCTGCCTGCCAAGTGCTGGACTTGAAAGCAAGCACCAATACACCCTGCTTATCCACGAGTTTTCTATTTTGCTGTGGATAGAGAGGTCTGTGCAGGGGCATTGTCTTTGTGTGTGTGTGTGTGTGTGTGTGTGTGTGTGTGTGTGTGTGTGTGTGTGTCCTCATTTGTGTTTTCACGTTTCTGCTTTCTTCTCATCCAGAAATGAGCTGTTTTAGATGAAAAGGAAGGAGACACTCTCTGTGTTGGTTTACTTAAGATGCCATGAGAAAAACAGCACAGACTGGGTGACTCGGAAGTGTCCTTCTAACTTACAGAGACTAGGGTCCAAGAGCAGCATGGCAGCAAGGACGTCTCTCTGCAGCCTCGCCCCTTGCTTGGCAGACCACCACCTTCTCGCTGTGTCTTTAAAAGGCCTTCTCGCTGTGTCCATATGACTGGTGCCTCTCCTTACATGAACCAGTCCTATGGGCGGATTACAGGCCCTGCTCCTGACTTCATTTAACCTCAGTTACTGCTTTAATGGTTCTTTCTCAAAATTCAGTCATAATGGAGCTTAGCTCTTTACTACATGATTTGCATAGAGTACAATTTAGTCCAAAGCACTCAAAGGACCTGCTACCATGCTGCTTTTTTAGGTCCTGAGGTCCCGTCTGGCATGCTTTCCTCTTCCCATCTTCCAGAGACTTCTTATATTTGTTTCAAATATAATATTTACTCAGGACATCCAATGGGAGGGATGGGGGGAAACCTAGTCCATTTTCCTGGAAGACAAGACTCTCTTTTTTGAAAAATTTAAAGGAGATTTTATAACTCAGTTCAAATTGGTTCTGATTCACAAGAGACAGGTCTCATTGACAAAGACATACTTTTGTTGACATCTCAGCCACTGGGAACTGGGATGATAAAGATTACCTCCCCAAGTCCATAGATTAGGGGAAAATATCAAATGTTTGATGGAAAATTTGTCTCCCAAAAGATGTAATCCCTTGTCCTAGAAAGGAAAGTCATTATGACAGACATGACAAAAGATGAGAAGCTCTGTGTCTCTAAGAGGAATTCCAGGACCTCACCTCCTGGAAGAAAATGTGATTTGTACTTTTTCTGGTAGAGATCAGAGAGGGCAGAAGTCCTGGAGAGGGCTGGGTATGTGTATGTGTTTGTGTACAGGTGTGCATCCTTGTTAGAGAGTAGGATCTGAGAGCCCCAGCCTTCCAAGGCAGAGGCACGGAGGTATGTGATGTATCTTTGCACACCTGAGTGAGTCTGGAAGCTTCTAACATCCAGACCTCTGGAATTTCCACATCACCGAAGCTGTGAGGCTCAAGAGAAACTCCCTATTACTTAATCCCCACTTCCACTAGACAGTAGGGGCTTCTTGAGGAAGATTGATTCCCTACATTAAGTAAGCCCCAACGTGCACCATGAGGCGGTCACAAGACAAACAGCCCCCGCCACAAGCTTCCATCCCACCACCCAGTCTTCCTGTTCCACTTGGGCCACAGTCACGGTAGATGAGTTTGGGTTGCTTCATTTCCTGCCTTACACAATAAACTCGTCAGTGTCTGACGGCTCAGGGCTTGCGATCAGGGAGTTCATTTGCAAGGCCACCTGGCACCCCGGCACTGCTCCCTGCTCCCATTTCATCTTGCCTAATGAGCCAGGGTGTGTTCCTGGTGAGTGGTGCTGAACTTCTGGGCCAGACATGGCCAGCATTTGGCAGCAAGGCCTCAGGCCCTCCTCAGGGATCCGTCTCATCTGTCTGAAGGAGGTCAAGCTACTAGCATGGAGAAGAGCAGCCCTTTTTTGCTGCAAGCCTGTGCTGGACAGCTGGGAGGAGCATGTCAAGCTTTCACCCTTCCATCCAGAGGTTGGATCAGGCTTGCTGCAGCTTCCTGCTGGGCTGCATGCAGCCTATCTGTCACACACTGGTTTGGGCTTGTTTCTAAGAAACCCTGGTTAAGGAAGATACAAAGCCAGACTTCCAGGGCTCACCAAAAAATGGACAAGAGGGAAATGATATATAACATTTGAGCGGTCCATGGCCCCTCACTAGCCAACAAGGTCTTATTCTTCCCATGTTTCCAGGCATCCTTGGCTCTACTATAAACACATAAACTGGGCCCAGGAAACTTCAGTGACTCTTGGGAGGACTCCTCATTCCCAAGTCTGATCTTCTTGATGCTCTGCTCCCAGCTTGGGCTTGGGGCTTACATGATTGGAACAAAACCAGCCTTCTCCGGTTACTGGGCAATTATTATCAAACCTCATATTTAAGTAAGATCTTGGAAATGGCTTATAGTCAGGTTATTTATTTCCTTTTCCCCTCACCTGCAAATGGGACATGATAATGTTGCCAGTCCCCTATTATAGTATGCATGCCTAAATCGGCACCTGGCACATAGCAGGTGCTCAGCAAAGGCTGGATCATAACCTCACAGCATTGTGGTCAACTGGCCTCATCTAAATCCTATAACCTTTACACTTAAGCTGGAGCCAGTCAGTTTACCCATGAGCTCCACGCATGTGGCTGGGGTCTGCTTCCAGCCCTCCCGCCATCCTGGGTGTTATCTTCTTCCTATATGCTTCTCCTTTCTCCTGACTATCTGGATCTGACATGGGTCTGTCCAGGCATACCTTCCCATGCTCTGAAGGCATTGCCTATACTAGGAGTTAAAGGGACCCCAGGACAGCACACCATATAAGGATTAGCTCCACAGCCATCTTCAGGGATGCATGCTGGAGAAAAGAGGGCCAGAGTGTGGAGAACCCTATGTGGAAGGGAACGTATCCTGTTCCCAGCCCACCCTTACGCCTGCCTTTCCCCTAGGCTTATGCCAGATGTTTCATGGATTGGTCCTTAGTGGGGCCTGAGCTATCCTGTAAGGCTGCTCAGCTATTATCATCTCTTATGGCCCAGGCTCAGGAAAGTGCCCTGAAATCTGTTACTAACCGTGGATACTTCTCTTTGCCCACATTAAATGGAGGTCTCACCCTCGATGAGTCCACAGACATGGAAAGGTACCCAGACCAGAGCCCCCGGAAGGTTGCATGACAGCCAGAACCTTGGGGACCTAGGAAGGCAGACAGGGAAGGGTGGCACAGGCCGGTGCTCAGGAGTTGCACAGTGTGGAGGAAGGTGGAAAGAGTGGCCGAGTAGCTGCTGCTTCTCTCTAAGACGGCTTCCGGGGAGTGAAGGGAAGGATCTGGCCCAGCATACCCTCTGTGCTCTGAAGGCGCTGGCTAGCCTGGGAGCCCAAAGCCCACCCTGACCCCCAGCTGACATAGAGCATGCAGTCCAAAACTAAGCACCACGGCCATCTTCCGGCCAGAGTGACAAGGGGCACAGTGAGGAGAACAGACGCTTGGCTTTCTTGTCTCCAGATTTTATTGGAAGAATTTAGACCTTGGCTTGCTTCTAGCCGAGAAGAGACTGGAAATTGTCGCTTTAACCAGCAGTCCATGTGCCAGGCTAAACGCAGGGTCCTCTGAGTAAAGAGCAGGGATGCTGTAGGATGCAGGCAGCAACCCCTGCCACATAGTACATGATGGTTCCTAATGCCACATCCCAAGTCTTCTGTGCGTAGAGCACTCTCACCCCTGCCACATAGTACATGATGGTTCCTGAGGCCACATCCCAAGTCTTCTGTGCGTAGAGCACTCTCACCCCTGCCCAGAGGCTAAGGGTACCTGTCTCCATTCTGTCACTGCATCCAGCTCCAAGTTCAGAGTCCCCAGGCCATGCTCAGCCCTCTCCTCTGGGTCTTGAAGTAGCTCCTTGGAATTTTAGATCAAAGCTATGAAGTTTTGGCTTATGATGGACTGAAAATTTTGATTAACTTTAAAGCAAAAGATGGGTTATTATGCTCATACCCAGCACGGGATGGTAGAGAAAGTCACCACCTCAGGAAAGTCCCGTGTTTGGAAGAAGGAAATACATGGCAGTGGCAGCAGCAGGTGCCCACAATTGGTGCCACTTGCCAGGTGGGCTTGTCAATCCCTTGGGGAGTGGTAGAGGCTTTATGTAAGAATAAGCTGTAGGCCAGGTTGGGCTCCCAGGTCATCTGTCCTGCGGACATCTAGTGGCTTCTAGCCTATTTGCCCTGATAAGTGAGTTCTATGTGCCTTCTTAACTAGCCCCAGCCAGTTCATTAAGGTTCAGCATCCGCTGTAGCCTTGCCCATCCCCCTGCAACTCAGACTCTGAACCAACAGCCTCGGGGGAAACGGAAGAGGCAAGCAGCACCATTCTTCAGTTTTTCATGTGAAATTGCCTAATTTAGAAACTTCAGGAACAAATACTCAGAAAAAAATCAGAGTTGCTGATCAATGCGCACAGATATGGTAATATCGGTGCCAGAGTGAGGGTGCTGTCGGACAAGGGAGTGGGATCCTGGGCAGGGCTGGGGACTGAAGCACCCCCCTTCATCTGGGCAGGCAGAACCAGCGGCTTCACACTGGGTGAAGCACTGGGCGCTGCTAGGTTTCAACAGAGACCAGTGGGGTCGAGCAGAGGCTCGGGACAGTACCTCTGACTGCAGAGTCCTGTCAAGGCAGGTAGGCTGCATGCAGCCCGTGGGACTCTGCAGGTGCCCCAGACCTGAGGCTCCACTCACCTGTCCTGCAGACTCCACCAACCGGGACTCCCTGGACATGATTGAGCGCTGCATCTGCCTGGTGTGCCTGGATGTTCCGGGTACTGGAGAGCTGAGTGACACTCACAGGGCGCTCCAGCTCCTCCATGGCGGGGGCTGCAGCTTCAATGGCGCCAATCGCTGGTACGACAAGTCCCTGCAGGTAAGTGCCTTGTCTGTGGCCTGGCAACTACACTGTCTCTGCTAGAGTTGGCTGCCAGCACATGGTCTTGCTGTCTCTGTCACTCAAAATGTACTAATGATGTCACCTCTAGACTAGCTGGAGTTCTTCTCAGAAGCCAAGTAGTAGAACCCAAATGAGACTCCCTGACTGTCCTGCTACTGTGTTGGAAGAGCTTGGTCACACCTGGGCTCAACCCCCACCTCCATCACACTTTGGGGTGGGAGAGTACCACAAACTCACCCAGTAAGTCCTCAGCAGTTAGTTAAACAGGTCAGACCGGGGATGCCAGCTTCTCTGAATGCCCACCCCCTGGCTTGACTATTTCAACCCATGCTGAGAAGCAGGGCAACTCAGCACTCCCTAAATCATCATCCTAAGGTACAACCAAATAATCCATAGCTTTTCACCCACATGCGTCAGGATAACATGTTATGTTGATTTAGAGGAAAACACGCACACAAATGGGTTGTGCTCTAGGTTGGCCATTCATTTCAGACCTCTACCCTCCAAACCCCACCACGCCCAGCACACCCCACAACATGCCAAAATCTAATGCAATCTTGTTTATTTACAATACCACCACACTCTCACAGTGACCATATAAAAGCAAGTTAACCATCTCTCTGGGTTGGGACAGCCCACCTCCATAGGCATTTCCCGGAAGTATCTAACTTTCTCCTCTCCTCATCCCTGCCTTTGGTGGGTTATTTTCTTTATTGGTTTGCATAGTGATTCTGTTATTTCTGATGAGTTCTATCCCCACCGTGCTGGCTGTTTAGCATCCACAGTGGTGCTAATGGCTAACAATCATTCACAGAGCACTGGTGGGAACGTAATGATGTAATGGATGTACAGGACACAGAGCAGAGTAAGCATTGGGTACAGTTTTTTTAAAGATCTATTTTCTTCCCTTTAAGTGACAAGGACAGAAAGGTGTTCATAGGGAGAAGGCACATGTCCCCCATTTTGTAGACAGGACAGAAAATAGGTGAGCTAGGGTTGCTACTGGGGTGCCGTGGACCTGAATTTAAGGGGATGGAAAGTGAGTCTCCACATGGAAAGAAAGAGATTGCTGGTGAAAAAAAAGAGAGAAGGATGCATACAAAAAATGCTCTGTGGGTGTGTGGTTGTTGGTTAGAATACTGGAATACATTGAGATTCCAGTGTCTGGCAAAGATAGCCAAGACTGGGGGAAGGTATGGAAAGAGGCAGCTCAAACTGTGTGTGCCGTAGTCCCGGGAAGTGCCTTCAGGAAACACCGTAAGAGCTCGGTCCTTTGCTTCCTTGTTTGTTCATGACCCAGGGCAGTCTGAGTGTGAGGAGCTCCAGAGAGGCCCCACTTCACATGGGGTATACCCCAAGAGTCAAGCCTTGTCTTTCTCATTATTTTCTCTCAATACTTTTGAGCCCTGAGAATGTTTGTTTCCCAAGTCAACTCAACATGGTCTTTGTAAAACAGGCCCACAGAATCTTTCTGGTGTCTGTGGATCCCCCAGAGCCTTTCTCTCTAATTTCCATCTCAGTCTTGTGAGTTGCTCTGCTGGGCTGATTTAAACGAGCAAGTCCAGGGGTTCGAAGAGTCTGGTGGATGTTTCCTCCATAACCAGACATGACAGCAGACTGAGATCTGGTGACTGTTTAACAGAACATTCTCCCTACACCTTTCCCGCCAAGGAACCTGTTATTTCTCCCTACAAATCCTCTTACCACCAAATCACATTGTTATTTTTTATTCATTCATGCAACTCAATTACCCGGCAGCTGCTCTGGGATGGACACTGGTCTAGATCCTGGGAATAAAAATCAACGGTTGCCAAGAGAAGCAGAGTCAGTCCATTAGGCAAATGGTTACAAAAAGCAGTGGAGAATGGTGTCTGCTGTGCATGCAATTAAGGACAAACAGGACTGAGCACCCACTCAGCCCTATAGGCCATGCACCAGACAGTATGAGCTCACTAAGAACCCTGGACTGCTTCCACAGGGGACTTGGGCTGCCCCTCCACTGCCTGGAGTCCTGTGGGAGCTTCCTTGAGATTTCCACACTCTCTCTGCCCGCAGCCACCTGCAGCCTCCTTTTCAGGAATCAGCGATCCTCGGTATCCTTGGAGGAGAAATGCCCCAGTAGGTCAGGTGGTCCTAGCCCAGGCCCAGAGCCTAGTTTGAAACGCTGACTCCAGGGTCAGCTCACCTGCTGCTTTCCTGTTGCAGTTTGTGGTGGGCCAAGACGGCACCTGTGGCGTGGTGTGTGAGCACTCCCCATTTGATGGCATCGTCCTGGTGCAGTGCACGGAGCACCTGCTGAAACATATGTGAGTCTGGGGCAGAGCAGAGGAGGACCTCAGAGGGCTGCCATGAAAAGCTGGGAGAAACTGGGGGCGTCGGGCCAGAAAATGGCTGAGCCAAAGATGAATTTGGAAAGATGCTCAGAAACTGCAAGATGAGCTTTATGAGCCACAGAGGGGAGGTACAGATCAGGCGGGAAACTCAGGGCAGACAGAGAAGCGGGGACCCAAGCTTTGATCCAGGGAAGCTCAGATCAGTCTTTGTTGTTGGGCCTAAGACCAGCAACAGGCACAGAGGAAGGTCTCCTCCATCACAGGCCAGGTCCCCAGCCTTCATGCTGGCTAGGGTGAAGCCCTGCTTTCCTGTTCCTTAACCAGGCCGAGTTCCTTCTAGCTTTCACGGTTTTGCTCACTCTCTTGTACTATCTCCTGGCATGCAGGTTCTCAGTCTCTTCCACAAAAGTCTTTGGAGTGACTGAGACACACACTCAGCTTGCTAACCACATTTCCAAGTCTTCCATAAGTGCAGCCCGAACATGGTTTAACACTAGGAGATAGAGAAGGAAATGATGCACTTTGGGGTCAGGTGCGAGTGGGTGGGACTCTGGCTCTGTCACTCACTGAACTTGTTTTATCTGCTCCACGCTTCCAGCAGCTCAGACCCCCTAAAGTTCAGGAGCTGTGCACGTGGCTAAGGTGGCTGTGCAGGAAAGCCGCAGCGTTGCCCAGGGCCCCAGGTTGCAGGGTCTCAGGAGGTTGTCCCTTTGTGTCTGCAGGATGAAGAGCAACAGGAAGCTGGTGCGAGCTGACTCAGTGAGCGAGCTCCCTGCCCCCAGGAGGCTGAGGTGGAAATGTTCCCCAGAAACTCAAGGCCACCTCGCCTCCTCAGCAGAGAAACTTCAAAGGTGAGGGGAACCCCCCCAGGCCCGCTCAGCCCCCTCAACGGCTGCTGAAGCACCCTGGGTGGTCCCAAAGGCCCCTGGGACTCTGTTCCCCTCCAGGCTCCACCCACTCTCACCCCTCATGGAAAATCAGTCAGTCCAGCTAAAGAGGAGTCATGGCTCTCAGGAAATAACCTTGCTCGAATATCTACCATTTTCATAAAATGCAAACCTGAAGCTATTTTTTTTCCTGCAGGTTTCACCTGACTAAGCAGAGTCAAGGCTGGGAAACGATTCCCTGCTTTGAGGGAGTAATGAACAACTGCTTTGAATAGGTCATTTGAATCCAGGCTATTTCAATTTGACTTTACACTGCAACTTGACAAGGGAGCCTTTCTCCCCGGGGAGGGGCCGCTTCGGGCCTTAACGGACACGGGCAGGAGGGCGGGATCTGAGCGACCTTATCAGCCCCTGTGTGAATGAGTGTGAGAACACCCATTCACTCACACATCGAACTTGGGGAGCTCTAGTGTGTGTCAGCTCTGCGGTAAGGTACTGGGAACTCAGAAAGGAGTGTGCCCTGGGCTTTTCCTCCACACTTGAGTGGAAGAAGCAGACCCCGGATCAAATAATGTACGAGGCATGAAGTGCCCAAAACAGAGAGAGGCCTGCAGACCCGAACCTGAAGATAGACATGAGGTTGAACTCTGCCTGGACAGTGAGGATGAAGAGCAACTTGAGGGGCTAACAGGCAGGGAAGAGGCAAGACAGAGGCGTGTATAAGCCTCTGTAGATTCGTAAAGATCCAGGCTGGTATGGAGATGGTAAATGAGAAGATGGCTGGATTTGGGACATAAAAGAGAAGCTGGGCCAGGCGGTGGTGGCGCACGCCTTTAATCCCAGCAGAGCCAGGCGTGGATCTCTGTGAGTTCGAGGCCAGCCTGGGCTACCAAGTGAGTCCCAGGAAAGGCGCAAAGCTACACAGAGAAACCCTGTCTCGAA